CCGATGCACACGGCACTTCCCCCGCCTCATCGATGTCGGCCCAGAGAACGCAATGGTTGGCATTGATGTTGCGTATGTGACCGGACGGGAGGGCGGCGCTGACCGACGGGAGTCGCGCTTCAATGCACACGCGGCTTCCCGAGGAATCAACTTCGGTCGTTGGGCCGCATTGAAGCAGTTGACCATCCATTTGCATGGCCTGGCCGAGGTTATATAAGCTGTGCTCCGGCGCCATCCACATTGCACTCACCGTATTGCTCTGCACGCCCTTGTCCTCACCTCCCCTCTTCCTCCACAACTCCGACGACGGGCAAGTCGTGGGCCTCGGCCCCGACAGGCGGCATCTCCGGAACAGGCTCCGGAGGTTCGTGGTGACGCCACCCTCGAACTCCGGGGTCATTGTCCTCATTGGCGGGCGACTCCTCGGCGAAGGCAGAGATTGCCATCTCCTTTGGCGATGAGGAGAACCAGTCGCTACAACAGCAATAGGCAACGCAACAGCAGCCGGCGACGCAGGGCACGGTCTACGTCGTGACACATGAGGAGTATGAGCCGCAGATGAAGGTCATGCTCCAACACTCCATCCTACACGTCAACGACCTGGCGGCGTCATCGAAGACGCTTCTCTGTGTCAAGTTGGAGTCCACATCCTCTCTCCGCTCTCCCATATGGAACAATGGCGTCCAAATTGGACGACGTGTCGAGGAGGAGCCTCTCTCGCCGCCTCCCCGGCGCGTCAAGGAGGAGCGGCTCTCGCCGCCGCCCCACCACGTGAAGGAGAAGCGGCGCTTGTTGCCGCCCTTACCCCATACGATCATCGTGAAGGCGCTTGGTCGCCTTCGTCACTAACTCGACGGCGGCGGCTCGTCCTCCCGGACACCCTAATGGCGGCGGAGTACACCGACGGGGAGAGGCGACGACGGGACAGGCGCAACGTGGTGCCCTGGTCTAAGTTCGTGGACTCTAATGTCCTGCCGCCACCATCGTGGCAGACCTGGAGCTGGTGTACGCCTGGGCCCTGGAACGCTCCAAGATGATGGTGAGGACGAGCAACATCGTCTCTGCCGACTCGACGGGGACGAGCAACATCGTCTCCACCGACTCGATGGGGAGATGTCCAAGTACAACGAGGAGTGGTCTCTCAGCAAGACGGTCGCCACCACCTACTCCTCCAAGGCCCGCCGCCCTCTCCCCCCGCCCATGTCGTTGGTGGTTGCGGTCGCACTGCGCAAGGCACAGGAGGAGCAGAGAGGATCATCTGCGAGCATCAGGCTGTTGTCAGAAAGCCCTGCCGCGACGCCACGCCATTCCGTCGCCCGAAGCCTGACGAAGACTGATATGTCTCCACGTATCTATAATTTATGAAATATTTATGCTATATTTACATCAATTCTATATAGTTTTAGTGCACTTTGATATTGTTTTTATGGACTAACATATTAATCCACTGCCTAGTGGCAGTTCTTGCTTTTTTCATATTTTTTGTTCGCAGAAAATCAATACATACGAAAGTCCAAACACGACGAAATTTTACGATGATTTTTTATGGGAAATAAGAGACTCTAAAGCTTCAGGGGAGTACCAGAAGACCCACGATGGCCCCACAAGGAAAGTCGGCACCCCCTGGGGGGTAGGACGCGCCACCCTGGCTTGTGGGCCCCTCATGGCTTCGTTAACTCTAATGTTTGGCCTATAAATTAACAAAAAATTAGAAACCCTCGGAGCGAGACAAGAAGTAAAATTTCTGCCACCGCAAGCCTCTATTCTGAAGCGATCTCATCTGGAGCCCTTTTCCAGCGCCCTGTCGGAGGGGGAACCCATCACGGGAGGCTTCTTCATTGTCCAGCTCGCGCCTGACGATCTCCTGGGGAAGGGGCTCCATGGCATCCATCGCACCATACTCGGCAAGCATCTTGCCATCCGCATCCGCCATCTCATTGGAAAAGGCCACCACGAGCTGGGCGTGGGCGGCCGCGGTCTGTCTTGGAACACGCGGTGTTGGGGATATTACTATTAAGTATAAACCGGCCATGAGGGGCCGGGTTATGTCCACAAGGAGTTAGTCATGTTTGAAGCCCATGAAGACAAGAGGTATGGCACTTTACAGAGGAGATCTAACATGAAGGCCCAGGGCCCAAAGGCGGATTAGAGTCCATAGGCATAAACCGCCATATGATATGTAACTTATGTTGTAAGGCAAGGAAAGGTAGAAACCGAGCCGGGCATGTTTATGAGCCGGCCTCGGGATTCTGTAAACCGTCGGGCGTCAACCTGTGTATATAAAGGGACGACCCAATGGCGGTTTAGGGACAGACAACAATAACTCGAGAGCCAGGCAAAGCAGATTCGCTCCCTGGTCATCAAAACCCTAGCAATTCCATCACAACTGGAGTAGGCTTTTACCTTCATCGTAAGGGGCTGAACCAGTATAATTCCTTGCGTCCCTTGTCTGCTTTAACCCCTTTAAGCTAACCCGTCGTGATGGCTCCACGACTAAGTCCTTTCACTAGGACATCTGCCGTGACAAAACCACGGCAGTTGGCGCCCATCGTGGGGCTATCGCACGATGGCTTCGAGTTCTTGAAGGGCAGCTTCAAAGGACTCAAGGGATACGTTGTGGGCCGGATGACCAAGAGTCATCGCGGCAAGCTCTACACCGATGACGCGGGCTGGGGGCCCGAGGCCGGCTCGATCGAGTACGGGTACCGGGTCCCTTTTGGCGGAATACACGTCTTCATTGGCAAGATCGGCGAACCGGGCCCTGAGCCGGACATCTGCACCGACATCGTCGAGACGGCTCAGCGTGCAAGACCTGCCTGAGTTCAGCCTGCCGTAAAAGCGTGCCTTCGTGGGAGTCATCCACGGAGTGGAATCTGAGGCTAGATCGATATCTGGTGGCGAAATTGTCATTTACTCCAATGACGAGTCTTCAACCGAAGAGACCGAGTCGCTGTATCAGCTGTAGGATGGTCGGATTAGCGGCGGTTCCGATGGTGACAGTATTCCGGACCTCTCTGATCCGCCGAGCCGAGTTACGATCTTTATGGCTGGTACGCAGTCGGTGCAACATTCTTCTACCGCATCAGCGATGATTTTCGGTTTAGCAGCTGCAACACCCGCTGGGGCAGGAGGCCCCGCGCCAGCACGGGTTCAGGTTTTGTCCGATTTATTTGACACTTTGGCGACGTTGCTGGCGGCTGATGTTAATGCGGCGAATCATGATCAGCATAACACGGAAATTGCAAAGGTGAAGGATCAGATAGCTCAAGCTAAGGTAGATCTGGCAGCGGAGAACACCAGGATGGTCGCAGAGCGGGCCGGGTTAGAGGCACAGGCTTATAGGCTTATGCTGGATCAAAGCGCATCAGAGGATGTCATGAGGAGAAGGTACCGGTCTCACCTGCCTCCGGTTTATGAGGGAAGGAATCTCTTCAACACGCCAGGGGCAGGAACCAGCAACCATCCAGCGGTAAACCGGGTGGAGGCGCCTAGAACGGGGGCGCCAGTTCAGCCGCTCGCGACGGATCCGCCTCGTCAGAACAATGTCCCATCACAGCACGTATCAACGCCTCCGGGTCATTATTCTAATCCGTTGGATAACATCGTCGCCGCCGCTTCACGATTGGCAGCTCTCCTGATCAAGGGCGAGTCTCCAGTAGCAGTTGAAACACGATGGGCTAGAGAGCTCCTTCAGACGACTCTGAACCAACAGCAGGCTTATTCGCACAGTCGTGAGAGGATTCATTCCACCCCTCGCCCAAGTCGGAGCTACAACAGGCATATTGATGAACCGACTGTATCAAGTAGTGCGCGAAACCGTAACCCGCCGCAAGGGCATAACTCGGCGGGTGGTGGTGCTAATGCCCAGGATGTGGTGGATCACGGTCGAGCACGTCGAGAAGCCGAGTTAGCAGCACAATACGCGGCTCGTCAGCTTACTCCAGTTCATCCGACCACTTCGGTGGAACCAGGCGT